GGAAGGGGGAAGGGGGAAGAGAAGGGAAGTTCCAGAATGACAAGACCACACATCTAGGAAAATCAATACCTGTGGCAAGCTTTATTCTTTTGTAACTGCAAAATGTTTTCTCAGGATCTCTCTGTGTGAGAGGTCCCCAGGCACAAATACTAAAAGTGCAACTAGCCAAGTGCCATCTCACACAGAGTAACACAAATGTAAGGTAGGGTTTTGGTTAAGCTGAGGAATGGTAGCAACCCCTTCCTGCCTGAGAGCAATCAACCATTTCACGTGGCCTTAAGTCATCAACGCACAGTAGAATTGCTTTACTTACTGTAACAACCAAGCTCAGAGAGCACCAAAGACCCCCAAAGTTTCTTTACCTGTCACACCAGTTTATAACCAGTTCAGAGGAACCCAACGTCCCACTCACTCTTCCTTTCTCAAGTTCAATCCCATGTTTGCTGATGGAATAAGATCATAGCGTCCCGACAGACAAAAGCATCCTGGTGATGTTTAAACTTCAAAATCCCTTAATGTCAAAGCTGACAAGATGCCCCAAATACCTCAACACAGGATGTAGCAAGGACAAATCAAAACAACTGCTCATTCTTCTCACCCCACCCACCCACAACATGTATGCATGCAGTATTTATTAATTACGACCCATTCATTATTGATTGCAACCAAGGAAGCCATTTGTGCAAACTGCAAAACACACATTTCAAGACTTCAAACTGCCAAAGCTATTTCAAGCAGAGCCGCTTTGGTCTGTCTAGTGCAGGGGCTACCAACCCCCGGTTCCATGGTCCGGCACTGATCCACGGCATGCCAGAAAGCGGACCACGCAAACAAGCGAAGCCCCATCCACGGTATGCAGGCAAAACGTGAAACCACACCCTTCTCTGGTCCACGGAAAAATCTCTCTCCATGGAATTGGTCCTTGGTGCCCAAAAGTTTGGACTAGTGCAGGTCTCCAAACGTGGCAACTTTAAGGCTTGTGGACTTCAACTCCCAGAATTCTGGGAGTTGAAGTCCACAAGTCTTAAAGATGACAAGTTTGGGGACCCCTGGTCTAGTGGCTAAGGTTCTGGCCTAGAAACCAGGAGACTATGAGTTCTAGTCCTGCCTTAGGTACAAAAGCTGGCTGGGTGACTTTGGGCCGGTCACTCTGTCTCAGCCCAACCCACCTCACAAGGTTGTTGTTGGGAGGGAAAAGAGGAGGGAGTATTAGGGATGTTCACCACTTTGATTTATTTCTAAAGTATTAAAGGCAGGATAAAAATCTAATAAATTAGTAAGATTCCCCATCTTGTGTGCTGCTTCATTGGCAGATCCGGTCTGCCATGGATGGGGGGGGGGGGGATGTTTTTGCGCGTGCGTGTGCGTGTGTGTGTAAGGGAGGGTGAATGCAGGGGAAGTGAAAGTAGTGAAAGTGGCTCTCAGAGACGGCCTTTCAAGTTCGCTCCATTATGAGAAGAATGCCCCTGCGAGGCAACCTGCCCACTCAAGTGACAATTTCACAAACACCTTCTTTGAAGCTGATTGGATGACGGGGGAAGCGTTGGGTCGTACCTAAGAGAGGGGAAGTTACATCTCTGAATTTGGCAAGTGCATGTCAGCTTTGGCTTTGCTTTACTGAACTTCACTTGACCTTTAGTCAAACTATACCTTTCTCAACAAATGGGAGTCGAGGATTGTTCAAGTTGAGGCAGGACTGACACAGCCATTCGTCAGAACTGCTTGAGCCTCTGATGATGATGACAGAATTTTCTTCAACAAAGCCTACCTACCATATGGTCTCTGGCAGGGGTATCCAACTCAAGGCCCGCAGGATGCTTAGATCTGGCCTGCAGGGCTGCCCTGGAAACAGCGGGGGAAAGGCCCACGGTGCCTCTGCCAGCGAAAACGGGGTTCGGGAGCCCTCCCAAGCTCCGGTTTTTGCTGGCAGAGGGCTGCAGGAGGATCCTTCCAGCCCCACCTGGGCAATCACAGGTGCCCCTGAAACTGTCGAGTTGTCCATGCCCCCCACAGCCTCCCCGATGTCACACACAACCCTGATGCGGCCCTCAATGAAATCAAGTTTGAGACGCCCCTGGTCTATGGAGATTTTTAGGTATCCAGGTCACTGTTTCAAAAGGCAACTGGGCTTTCCTGGTTTTTTTTTTGCCTTGAAAACGTTTTGCTTCTCATCCAAGAACTGGAAAAGCGAAACATTTTCAAGCAATAAAACCAAGAAAGCCCAGTTGCCTTTTGGAAAAAGCATCTTTGCAACTACCCACCCTGGGCAGGGTGAGAACATGGGAACACCTAAACCAGGCAGATATCAGCCAATGGAGGGATTGTTTTAACAAGAACAAGAATAATTTTATTTGGGTTTAAAAACCCTCCTTTAGGAGATATGTCCTGGGCTTGCAATGTATTCTATAATACAACTTACGACTTACAACAGTTCGTTTCGTGACCATTCAAAGTTACAACGGCACTGAAAAAGGTGACTTGTGACCATTTTTTGCACTTATGACCATTTTAAATGAGACTTTGAGTTTCGGAATCTCCATAAAAGGAAAATTTGACTGGATTAGCGGTTCTCCCAGAATGGTTTATCCTCTTTTATCTTCCCACAAAGCTTCATATGTCAAAATTAGTTACTGTATGTCCAGGGGGTGAGCAAAAAAGGCTGGGGCAAGGGAAATGGGAGAAAGGGAAGAAAGGACTCACACCGTTACTGGAAACCCTTTGGGACACAACCTTCTGCAGGGGGCCCTTGTTGTCATTCACCCAGAACAAGGAGAGAACAGCCCAGATAAGATTGTTCAGAGCATGTGAAAGGAAGCTTATCAAGAGCCAAATTTATCTTCTATTTGCATGCCTGCCTTCAGTTTATGAAACAAGTTGGGAGGCTTTTTAAATGGGCTTTTTTAAGCACAATTGCTAAGTACTAACAGATAGCATTTTACTCCCTTTTATGTCACTCACTTGCCTCCAGGGTACTTTGACAAATCACAACAAAAGCTATGCAAAAGGGAGATGACAACAGAGGGCTGGTTCAAATAGTAAAGGAATCTCTTCTGAAACCTTGTCTTCAGGGCAATCTTTTTCCAAACACACTGAATTTGGGGATGCTTTCCTGGCATTTCAGTTGCCCTTTTCTTCCCTCTGACAAAATACTGGGCAGACTTTATTTGTGGAGCCTACCAATTTTAATAGGTGTGTGAATTTTCTTAGTACAGAAAAATCTAACAACTGCCAACACATCAGTCTTGTGATTTATATGGTATCTGTTTGGTCTCTTTTAAAGATTAAATATGAGAGGTATGCATAAAACAACAACAGAACCAGCGTGTCATGGTTCCGAGTAATGCTGCCAGCCAATTCAAGACTCTGAGGCCTTGGCTTCCTTCAAGACTCTGAGGCCTTGGCTTCCTGTTTATTGGGCACACCTGACTGTGCTGATATGATGTATACCCAATAAACAGGATTTCTGAGGAAGCCAAGGCCTCAGAGTCTTGAATTGGCTGGGAGCATTACTCGGAACCATGACATGGCGAGGATCTGACAAACCATTTTCAGAGGTTGATGGTTCAACAGAAATGAAAAAATAACAGAAACCCTGCGGTTGTTTTGGGTTTCAGATAAGGCCAAATAAAACCCAGGCAGGACAAGAAAGATGAGGTTGGGTCTTGCCGGCTGGCCCCTTCTACAATTCCCAATGCAGCCTAATCAGATGTCCAGCCTGGCCCCATTTTTCTTCCTATTAGCAGCTGCCACTGAGAATGGCATAAAAACACCCCACTGACCACATCCAGGGTCTTTTTATTCTCATTCTTCTCAGTTCCTGGCGTTTCCTTAATCCCAAGCCACTGCACAAGTAGCTCTGTTTTGTTTAGCGCGTAGGACAAAACTGCTCGTCTCACTCATAGAAGAAAACAGCCCCCATTCCATTAAGAAAGGAAACACTTAAAACATGCAAGTTTCGATTCAGACAGACCGTAAACCAAAATCAGTGCTTCGGTGAGCGGAAGAGTTTATGCATTTTTCACGTGCGGATCCTTGAGTGTTCTCTGAGCTTGGTGGGTTTCTTGTAGGTGGTTCATGACCCAAACTAGGCAACATCATCAGTGCTAAAAGGGAGTGGGGTTTGGTCTTTGCTTATACATAGTGGTTTGCCCTATTAGGCTGCCCTGCTAACCAAGGAACCAGCAAGAAGAAAACACTGACAGGGCAAGCCACTAGTAAATAAACAGACAGCAGTCCTCACTCCCTTTCTAGCAACAACGTTACCTAGTTGAGTCATGAAACATCTACAAGAAAACAACCAAGTTCAGAGAGCATCAAGGACTAAAGCTGTCACAAACCCCTCTGCCTTCTAGCACTGATGATATTACTTAGCATGGTAATGAGATGTCTTCAAGAAAACAACCAAGTTCAGAGAGTAGCAAGGACTCCACAGTTCTCCTCCTCCTGCTCCTCCTCCACCACTCTCTTCTCCTGCTCCTCCTTCCCTTTTCCATTTCCTCCTCTTTCCCCTCCACTCCACAAACCCCACTCCCTTCTAGCACTGATGATACTACCTAGCATGGTAATGAAACGTCTACAAGAAAACCACCGCCCTCAGAGAGCATCAAGGACCCCACAGTCATCGTCCTCCCCCCCCCAACCCTCTTCTCCTGCTCCTCCTCTCCTTTTCCACTTCTTCCTCCTCCCTCTCCTCTCCTCAACCCCACTCCCTTTCTAGCACTGATGATGTTACCTAGTTGGGTCATGAAACATCTGTAAGCAAACAACCAAGCTCAGAGGTCACCAAGGACTCCACAGTCGCCATCCTCTTCTACTCCACAAACCCCACTCCCTTCTAGCACTGATGATGCTACCTAGCATGGTAATGAAACGTCTGCAAGAAAACCACCACCCTCAAGAGAGCATCAAGGACCCCACAGTTCAACCGTGGGCTACAAATATTCTCTTCTATCAGTAACCTTTGTCACATCCCAGTGAAATCTCCATGGTCACAGGCTCACCATGATTTGGGCTCTCCAAAATGCAGGTAGTTGATGCTGTAGAGATCCATGTCCTCCGTATGCCACGCAAACGTGGTCTTCCACATCCCAAAGTAGAGGTAGGGGGTGTTCACGCCTTCTATGATAATCCCACACTGATGCTCCACCATGTCAAGGAGCGTGTTCAGATTCCCAATATTCCATTCTTCCACATCCTGGGAGAAGAAAGCAAATCCAGACAGTCAAAGGAGAAGCCAGTTTCGCTCCTTCCACCCCCACACAGGAAGGGGGCGCTGAGGGTCGTTTTTCACAGGCGGCCTCAGAAGGGAAAACATCTGGCAAGGAGCAGCTATTGCAAAGCAGCAGGGGACCAGGCATCTCATAGCCCACGGAGCAGCTCTGAGAACAAAACAAACTAAAACACCCGCTATTACATGGGCCCCCGCCGGCTGTCTCAAACCTGTTTACCACAACTTTTAAGATTCATTTCACAGATGGAACGAAAAATGAAAAGCGCTTTTCTAAAAATAACGCAGAGACATCGGTACAAGAAGAGGAGAAAGAGAAGGGAAAGATTCTGACTGAAAGCCAGCCCAGTCCAGTTTACATTAAGAACACAGGCGGTCCTTGACCGCAAGTGAGCCCCAAATTTACGTTTGCCAGGTGAAGCATTTGTGAATTGAATTTTGCCCCGTTGTACGACCTTTCTTGCCACTCTAAAGTGAATCTCTGCAGCTGTAAAGCCAGCAACCCATTTGTGAAGTGAATCTGGCTTCTCCAATTGACTTTTGCTTGTTAGAAGGTCGCAAAAGGAGATCACGTGACCCCAGGGACTCTGCAACCGTCATAAATATGAACCAGTTGCCAAGCATCTGAATTTTGATCACGTGACCATGGGGATGCTGCAAGGGTCACAAGTGTAGAAAATGGTCATTAAGCCACTTTTTTCAGCATGGCTGTTAACTCTTGTGGCCTGGCAGCAGCCGAGTTGGACAATAGTGAGGAGGTTGGGGAGGAACCTGGGCCAGTTCTGGAGGCTGAGGAAGGCCCCGAGAAAGGCTCTGCGTCGGAGGCAGAGATGAGGCCAGGGTATTTTTTGGCCTCGCCCTGTGTCTGGCAATTGGTTGGTCCAAGTGTGATAAGGTGGGCGTTTATAAGCATTCCCCTGAAAGACGGTTGGTGAAGCCTGGCGGGCTGTGAATGAATGTAATTCACAGCTGTGGAAACAAAAGAGGTTTTGCCGGGACTAAGATTGTGTTTTATGCTTTCGAAGGAAGCCTAGGTCAGAACAGTAACTTTGAACGGTCACTAAATGAACTGTTTTTAAGTCGAGGATTACCTGTAATGCAGACTTGGTTATCAACAATGGTTTGCCTTCAAAGGGCCTGGCCATGAAATCCCTACATGAAATCTAAAATTACTTTCAGAGCTATAGACAGGTAGTCCTCGACTTACCGCTATTTGTTTAGCAACTGTTCAAAGTTACAAAAGAACGGGGGGGGGGAAGGGGAATTATACTTGGTCCTCACTCTTATGGCCGTCACAGGATCCTCAGTCACACCATCAAACTATGGGTACTTTGGCAACCAGCATGGATTTACGATACTTGCAGCATATCCCAGGGTCATGTGATCACCATTTGGGGTCTCCTCCCAGGGGTTTCCGACAAGCAAAGTCGATGGGGGGAAGCCAGATGTGCCTAGTGACCACCGGACTCCCTTGAGCAGCGCAGGGATCTGCTTACCCATCGTGGCAAGACTGGTCATGAAGTCAGGTGGGATGCCCGTAACCAGCCCTTCGCTTAGCCATGGAAATTCTGGTTCCAATTGTGCTTGTCAGTTGAGGACTTTTTTGCTACTTCCAAACAATTAATCACAACAGCCCCAAAGGTGCTTTTTTTTTTCCCAAGAGGCAACTGGACTTTCTTGGTTTATTCTTTGAAGATGTTTCGCTCCTCACCCTAGAAAGCTTCTTCAGAAAAAATTGAAACGTCTTCAAAGCAAAACCGGAAATTCCCAGGTGCCTCTTGAAAATAAAAGCACCCTTGGGACAACCATGACCTGGATGACTGAGAATCTCCATAGACAATCACAACAGCCCCAATTTTGTTGGAAGAAGTTATACATATCGACAACAGTAGTCCTCAACATTCCCATTAATTTATAATTCACCCTAAGGTTCTCATATAATTTAACCCAGGGGTTCCCAACCCGTGGGCTGTAGCCCACTAGTGGGCCACGGCCTATTCGCCAGTGGTCCACAGGAGGGGCCAGCTGGTGTGCATGCCTGCATTCACGTGTGCACAGCCCCACTCGCACAAGCATCACAAGCGCTTGGGGCCTTAGTTGTGTGAGCGTTGTGGGTGCTCTTCAGCCCCACTCGCGTGAGCAACGGGTACTTGTGGGCATGCACACATGCGCACACTTGCTCACCCCTCCCACATTCCCTTTCTCCCCTCCAGGCCAACCCGGAAAGGTTAGGGAACTCTGACTTAACCTGTTTCAACCATATCTAAATCTGCATTGTATATATGCTCCAACCTTATTTCACAGGGACTTACCGAATCATACAGTGAACCACTGATATCCGCCCCATATATAGGGGAGACAAAAGTCAAATTCTTCCAGTATTTGCGTTCCAGATCATCAAAATCCTGATGGCGAGGAGTGCAGTACCTGGTAAGGAAAAAGCAGAATTAAGAACTGGCAATAAATTTTTTGTAAACCAGAGTTGAGCTCCCTTCTGATGAAATGGGGCTGCGGGCCACATCATTTAATGCCCTAATAAATGTAGGGCAATTTATTTAGTTCACTCCAAACACCGCCTTGCCAACTCTATTCTACAAAATGATGCTGACGGGTAGTCAATAAAAGCACCGGAGAATGTGACACAGAGGCAGCTCAATGCGACCCAGGGGAAAAAAAATGTGACAACCAAAGCATGGGTTTTTCTGCATACTTTTACTGCAAAGAGAAAAAAACTAAAAGAATCCCCGTGCTCTGTTTAATTATAAGCCAAGACAGTCTTAACCATAGATGTACGTACTTCTCACTGTTAGCCAAATGCCGATAGTCTCCAACCAGCATGGGTTTCTTCTGAATATTGTACTGGGTGAAAAGCCCAGACTGGCCAGTCACCACTTGCTGAATGGGAGCAGGGATCACCATGCTGTCGATATCATCGTAAGTCTTCCGGGGCTTCCATTCCTTAGGAGGGATCACCTGCAAAGGTGGGGAATAATTTTTTTTTTCTTGAATAGATCACGTTTCATGGGAACAAACGAGCTAAAGGGAAGGATTCTTCTCGTCTGGATAAAAGAACAACATCTGTCTACATCTCCTTGACTTCCTGTTTCTGTCACCCAAGTGTGCATTTTACTCTAGATTCTTAGCCAGAAACTCCAATCTGTTTCAAGAATAAGATCGCTTTGGGATCTGTGCTGTGGCCTCTGAAGTTTTCCTCTCTGGGTTGGGCTTTTGAATGCCCCTGGAGCCTTCCCCCTCTTATAATCTGTGTTCCTAACTTTATTCAGGTCTTAAAATGTCTAATCATCTCAACTGGGAAGCCAGATTCACTTCACAATCGTGCAACTAACTTAACGACGGTGGCAAGAAAAATTGTAAAATGCGGTAGAATTCACTTAACAACTGTCTTGCTTAGCAACAGAAATGTTGAACTCAGTGGGGGTCGTACTACCTGTAGCATGAAATCCTATTCCTATTTTCTACTCACCTACAATACAAGACTGTCTCTGTAGGAAAGGAAATTCTTGTTTGTCCAAAAAAATGTAACAGCTTTAAAAGCCTCAAAAGGGGCAGGTTTGCATCTGCTCTCTAAAACTGTCTGGGAGCCAATTAAAATACCCTTTGTCACCCTACCTATAGTGAAAGTACAAGGAAAAATATCCTCAAAAGCTTTTATCAATACCCACCTCCCCTGTGAAAATGTAATGAAATGAGTTATTTGACCCACTTTAATGAAGAGCCAGGCTCTCCCTTCTTCTTAAAGCTGCGCTCCATTTTGTTCTCTGAAAATGTTTAGATATCAAGCTGTGCCAAAGCAGCCCTAACGGCCAAACCAAAAACAATTTTAGGAAAAAACAACAACAGAAAAACCTGACAGATGTGCTCCAATGTATTTATACTCAATGTATTCAAAGCAAGGCAGGCACACACACACATTTTATACTGACACATTACACAGAGGCATCATTTGGTTCATTTAAGCTTTGGGGGGGGGGGTTTAAAGGACAATTAATGGCAATTATGTGGAACGGGTGAACTGTGTTTTGTTTATTAAACCGTGTTGAAAACAAAATATGAGCTACTTCTGGAACCCTCAATTTGACCCTCCCAGTGTGTAACCAGAGGCATCCCTTTGTTTGTCTATCTCACTTGATTTTTGTACTTTGAAAAAAAAAAAAACTCAAAGTCCTTGACTTACAAACACAATGGAGCCCAAAATCTGTTGAAGCAAGACATTTGTTAAGTGAGTTTTGCCCCATCTTACGACCTTTCTCGCCACAGTTGTTAAGGGAATCCCTCCAGTTGATAAGTCAGTCCTACGGTTGTTCAGTGAATCCGGCTTCCCTGTTGACTTTGCTGGTCAGGAGGTCGCACGAGGGGATCACGTGAGCCCGAGATTCTGCGACCACCGTAAAGGTGAGACAGTTGCCAACAGTCTGAATTTTGATCACCTGACCATGGGGATGCCGCAATGGTTATAAGTGTGAAAAAAGGCCGTAAGTCCCTTTTTTTCAGTGTTGTAACATTGAACGGTCACTAAATGAATTGTTGTAAGTCGAGGACTGCCTGCAGTCCAGTATTTTATCCAGAAATGTGCTCCTTTACACAGAAAAAACAAATGTAATAAAAAGGCAGGAGAGGGTATTTGTGAGGGAAGGGGTCAGACAGGATATCAAACAGCATTTTTACCCTTTTTTAATGACCAAGTTACAACAGCACTGAAAAAAATGGCATTGATCAATTCTCACATTACAACTGTCAACAGTATATCTATGGTCATAATTCAGTTGCTTGGGAACCAGCATGTATTTATGACAGGTGCAGCTTTCTGGAGTCAGGGGATCATCATTTATTAGCTTCCCAGAGGAGTTTTCAACAGGTAAAGTCAATGGGAAAAGCCAGATTCGCTTAAGGACCACATGAGTTGCTTAATGACCGTGGCAAAAAAATTTTTTTAATTGGGTGCATCTCACTTAAAAATCGCATTGCTTAAGTCAGAGGTCTCCAAACTTGGCAACTTTAAGACTTGTGGAATTTTGAGAGTTGAAGTCCACAAGCCTTAAAAGTTGCCAAGTTTGAGAATCCCTGGCTTAAGTGATGAAAGTTCCAGTCCCAATTGTAAGTCAAGGATTACCTGTAAGTGGCCTTGATATCCCAAAACAATCTTTTTTTTTTGAGAGAGAGAGAATCCATAATGTAGATCCCTACCAGAATCTTAAAGCTGAGAGTGGAAATTTAGTATGAGACATTAATTGCCTATATTTTAAAGCCCAAACCTGACAGAAGACTTCACATAGCGCCCCCCGACAGTTTTCTGAGGGATTGTGCACATAAAAATGAGATTGCTGAAGAACTTACAGCTTTTAAAGGCTGCTCCGGGTTAGCTGAGATTAACTTCCTAAACCACTAAGAAGTGGAATCCACAGCACACTTACCTTAGCAAGCCCTGCCCGGTGAGCTCCTTGCGATTCAATGTAAGCAATGTACTTCCCAAAATCCTGGAATTCTTCCAGTGTTGGATGGAACGTCATAATTTTGCAGCTGGGATTTTGCGGGCTTGGATTTTCTGACCCCATATTGCTGAAGATGGTTTAAGCACTTGTACTGCAAAAAAAAAAAAGGTAGACGGAAAGGGGGGGAAAAAGAAGAGCGGGAAGAACAAACATTAAAATCTATCGTTGTATCTTCAGATTAATACAAGTTAGGACATTTAAACTACTGCTGGGCGGTTGGTGGCTCGCGAGATTAGAATGTGGGGGGCAGGCTTGCGTTTTAGACCCTTTGCTGCCAAGAAGTGGGAGGGGGAGCTCTCGTCACACACGCCAGCTCCTGCCGACCCAGCAGTTCAAAAAAGGGTGATTGCGAGTAAGATTAATGGGTACCACTTTGGTGGGCAACTTCACGGAGACACGAAAGGAGCCCCCCCCCAACTGGGCATTCTGCAGGCAAAAGGTGACATCACCAGCAAATCTTTCTGCCACGGAATCACTTTGGTACTACACAGAACACATACACAGACGCAGACACAAACACACACACACACACACAGAGGACTGTTAAGACTGAAGTCCAGCTTAACTGGCTAACTTTGATTTTAGTATTTGTAACATTTCTGCAATCAATTAGTATAATCGTGATGTAAAAATCACACTGATAATTATGAGAATCATAATCACTATTTGAAATACCCCACCCACACTTTTAGCATATAGTTCTTAACACAGCTTCCATATCTTTATATTTATTTTACGTATCAAATTTAGAGACTGCCCATCTCACTCGCAGAGCAACTCTGGTCTGTGTACAGTTAAAAGAGATACAGCTATTCCGCAACAGTTCATTTAGTGACCATTCAAAGTAACAACGGCACTGAAAAAAGTGACTTAGGACTGTTTTTCACACTAACAACCTTTGCAGCAGCCCCATGGCAACTGGTTCATACTTATGACTGTTGCTGTGTCCCAGGGTCATGTGATCCCCTTTTGTGACCTTCTGACATGAAAAGTCAATGGGAAAGCTGGATTCACTTAAGAACCCAAGTTCCTAGCTTATCAACTGCAGTGATTCACTCAATAACTGTCTAGAAAAGTCATAAAACGAGGCAAAACTCATTTAAGTAATGCCTCACTTAACAACAGAAATGTTGGGCTCAGTTTTGGCTGTAAGTTGAGGACTACCTGTATTGTAGTTGCTGCTATAAAGAACCATTGACCCAAAATAAAAAGGGAGCAAGAAATGAGAGTGGTTTCAGGAATTATGCACTAATAGGCAGGCTTGTCCTACCTATAAGAAATACAGTTTTAAACGTGATTGTTTTTATGATTTTACTGATAGGCATAACATTTAATCATTACAAATGGTATGCTTATTCATCATTAGTTTTATGGGAGGGTGTTATAAGACTGCCATACTCATACATTCATCATATTCACTGCCCAAAGACAAAGTAATTTGTTTGGCTTACTGCGGTGTGAGCCCAGCCATTCTAGCTTATTCAACAATAACATCTATTTTAAATAAAGTCAACACTGAATTCTTTCCAAATTTACTGACCTCAGATACTTCTATCACCCTTTCATGTCCTCAGAAGGATGAAAGATAATGAGAGAAAGAAAAAAAAACACATTCCCTGGTATGTTTAGCAAGCAGAAACTTTAGCCATTCTGGGATTGGCTTAATCTATAGGACAGAAGAACAATAAAATCTGCAAATTTCAACAGATAAGTAGTGGTGAGAGAAGCAAGGACGGAAACAACACAAGATAATAAATTATAGCTTTAATCATTTGTCTAGATTCAAAAAGGAAGAAGCCAAATTATATGAGGGAGGGAGGGAGGGAGGTGTCAGGGCTTTAAATTAATTTTACAGTACAGGTAGTCTTCGACTTACAGTTGAGACCAAAATTTCTGCTGCTAAGTGAGACAGTTGTTAAGTGAATTTTGCCCCATTTTGCAACCTTTCTTTCACTTGGTTGTTAAGTGAATCTGGCTTCCCTATTGATTTTGCTTGTCAGAAGATCGCAAAAGGCGATCACGTGATCACAGGACACTACGACCGTCATAAACATGAGTCAGTTGCCAAGTGCCTGAATTTGACCACATGACCATGGCGATGCCACAACAGTTGCAAATGTGAAAAATGGTCCTGTCACTTTTTTCACTGATGTTGTAACTTCAAATGGTCACTAAATGAGCTGTTGTAAGTCAAGGACTACCTGTATGTGATTTGACCACCTCTTTCTAAGCGAGTGGGAAAACCTCAGTTTTTATTTTTAAGGCGTGTCTACTTTAAAAACAACAACAACCCTAAACTAGGAGCCAGGCTGGTCTAGTAGTTAAAGCTCAGGCTAGAAACCAGGAGGCAGTGAACTCCAGTCTCGCGTTAGGCATGAAAGCTGGCTGGGTGACTTTGAGCCGGTCACTCTGAGCCCAGCCCACCTCACTGAGTTGTTGCTGTGGGGATAACAGGAAGAAAGAAGAGCATTTGAATTACTTCTAAAGCAGGAACGTCAACATCAAGGCAGGGGCTCAGAATTGGGCCCGCAGGGTACACTTAAATCTGGCTGGCAGGGCCGACCCGGAAATAGCAAAAAACAAACAAACAAACCAGCACCCCATTTTGGCCTTCAAGGTGCTGCAGGAGGCCATCCCCAGGCCGAAAGCAGGGAGCAGGGGGGGGCGTGACCAGCCCTCCTGCACCCCCGTTTTGGCCATCGGGGTGCTGCAGTAGGAGTCGATCCCGTCTCCCCTCCCCCAAGCCGGCCCAGGGAGAACTACAGTGGCGATCCAGCCCTTGAAGAAATCCAGTTTGACGCCCCTGTTCGTAAGTAATAAAGGCGGGATAAGAATCTAATAAATAAACCAAAAGACATCTACACGCATTTGAAGAAGGAAGCAACCAAAATGAGATGAGACCTGGGGGGAAAAAAACCAAGCAGAAATGGCAGGAGAGACCAGGTATCTTTAGAGAAGAAACAACTGCTGGAGACAGCGGTTTTCAAAGATCTGAGAGGCTACCATGCAGTATGAAAATTATCGCGTAAGACGATAGTGAAAACAATGGTTTAAATTCCAAGGAAGCCAGAAAATTGCCTAACAGTAAGAGAAGTTTAAGCAACCCAACAGACGGCATGGTGTGATGGTGTGATATGTCTTTTATGCATATCATTAAAACAATACAGACTCTTTAGCCTATAAAATCAAATGAGTTCCTATTTGTAATTATAGGTTGATCACCAACAGGAAAAAGGAGGTTCTAGTCTCACTATAAGAAGGCTTTAGTCAGACCCTATTTGGAATAAATACTGTGCCCAGTTCTGGACACAGTTTGTGTTCAGTTAAAAAAAAAAAAAGATACTGAAGGAATCCAGAGACAAAAATGGCAACAAAAGTGGTGCAGGGTGTCATAAGGGACAAAACCTATCAGGAGAGATTGGAGGAATTTAGTATGAACAGCCTGGAGGATAGAAGGGAAAGGGGGGAGATGACTGCGAAACCTTTAAAGATATTAAGGGCATGAATAAGATTCTGGGATGCGGTATTTTCAATATTATGTAAAAACTAAAAACATGGTGGCATAACTGCAAACTGACAGGAGGGAAGTTTAAAAGAAACATTAGAAATCTTCCTTCACAGAAAGAGTAAGCTTGAAACCAACTTCCAGTGGAGGTCAGTCATTAGTAACTGAGTTTAAACGTATTTGGGATAAACACATGTCCATCATTTGACAAAAATTAAAAATAATCGGATACAAAACCTTCAAAGGACACATTTAATGGACCTGTAGATCACTTTCTGCTGCCAGTTTGTTTCTTGTGTTGAAAGCGCTGGCCTAAAAACCAGGAGATTGTGAGTTCTAGTTCTAGTCCCACCTTAGTAATCAAAGATGGATGACTTTGCGTCAATCACCAAGAGATGGTGGGTTCTAGTCTAGTTTTAGGCATGAAAGCCAGATGGATGACCTTGAACTAATCACTGTCAGCCCAACCTACTTCACAGGGTTGATCTTTGGGGAAAAAGAGAGGAGGAAGGAATATTACTAGGTATATTCACCACCTTGAGTTGTGGGTGGGTGGGTGGGTGGGAGGGAGGGAGGGAGGGAGGGAGGAAGGAAGGAAGGAAGGAAGGAAGGAAGGAAGGAAGGAAGGAAGGAAGGAAGGAAGGAAGGAAGGAAGGAAGGAAGGGATCCTATTAGATTGGGTTAATTAGAAAGATTTGTTCACACATCTTTGAAATAGTTTTGTTGCATTCTTTAGGAAAGAAACTTTATCTCATCTTTGAAATACAGGTAGTCCACAACTTACGACCACAATTGAGCCCACAATTTCTGCTGTTAAATGAAGCATTTAAATGAATTTTGCCCCATTTTACAACCTTTTCTGCCACAGTTAAGGGAATCACTGCAGTTGTTAAGTTAGTAACATGGCTGTTAAGTGAATCTGGCTTCCTCATTTGAGGTCACAAAAGCAAACATGATCCCAGGACATTGCCGCCACCATCATAAATATGAGTCAGGTACCAAGCATCTGAATTTTGATCACATGACTATGGGGATACTGCAACGGTCGTTAAGTATGAAAATTAGTTGTAAGTCATTTTTTTTCCAGTGCCATCGTAACTTTGAAGGGTCACTAAATGAACCGTTTTAAGTCGAGGACTATCTAGTTAGTCTTGTTCCTTGCTTTAGGCTGCCTTTACAAATACACTTTAATAGCCTACACCTTCTTCTCCCTCTATTTTAGCAGCTGCTATGGTTATTGACAGAAAGGGCTCTAAGGGCGTAAGTCACGCTATGGATCCCTGACTTGAAGCCATGCTACTTTCACTGCACCCAGGAGACAGGTTTCCCCTGTGGTGGTGCCTGCTCTACGGAGCCATTCTTCCCCCTTCCTCAAAAACACACCGCTGACCAACCCCCCCCCCCCCCAGTCCTTTAGAAAGGCAGTTAAGGCCTGGATTGTTTGGTCCTTAGGGATGTAGATCAGGATGAGTAGACTTCCCATCTGGTGTCATATAACAAACTGGAGCCTCTCATTTCCAGCTAATCGTTTTGTTTGTTTCATATGCATTTGCTGGGGGCGGAGGGATGATTTGATTTACTGGTTT